AAAAGAAATACCTAGGATTGAAGTAGAAGTTGGATGAGCTCTCCCAAAATCGTCTCTTCTTCCTTTTCCATTTCAGAAAATCGAATCCTCCTTGCGTCTTTCTCCCTCGAACCGCTGCATGCTGCTGTCCTCTCTCGTCTCTAGTGACAGCCCCCAATCGAACAGCCCCTTTATCGCCTCTTCGCTGCCTCTTCCTCCGATTTTCTGCCCACGTTCGCTCCCTCTTCTTCGAACCCCACGTCTCTCTCTCGCGTTCTGATTTCTCTCGCTCCCGATCTCTCGCTGCAGACCGGTCTTGGGCTGTTTCTTCTTCTTTTCTTTTACATGACTTGGGCTGCTTGTGTGTGTAAAAGGTGGAGTCCATCAACAAATAAAATAGGCCCAAGACTTGGCCTATGAATCTCTTCTTTTTTTTTTTACTGGACTTCACAAATAAATAAAAGGCTTGGTTAATACCTTTTACACACCAAATGGTGAAATTAAATGGACTTTTATCTTCATTTTTAAGACATAAAAATATAGCAATCAAAATTTCTAATTTCTAATTAGACTGAAAAGCTTACATGGGATGGCAAGGAAGAAGAAACTGTCCCTTGTGGCCCAAACTGTTACTTTCAGGTATATGTGCTCTATCCCCATTGTTGAACTAGAAAATTGGGTATTTTCGGTGCAATTTCCGGCGGAAATAGTGTCGGAATATAATTACCGGACAACAAATTAAAAAAAATCAACTTCTGTTTTATATTCCGGCATTATTTCAGGAGGATTTCCGGTGGATTGTAGAAATTAAATTTTTATGAAATTATTAACTCTAATTACAATAAGTTACCGATGGGTTTCCGACGGATTTTTGATTAGTTTTTTAAGATTAACGTCCGCCGGTAATCCGTCGGAAAAAAATTAAAAAATAAAAATTATTATTTTAATTTAGCGGCGTATTTCCGGCGGTCGCCGGTAATTTAAAATAATAAATTATTCAAGTTTTCTAAATTTTTATTGATTTCCAGTGGATCTCCGGTGGATTTTTGATTTTTTTTTGTTTTTCATACTTTTGGTTTATTTATATGAAGAATATTACATATATTCCACATGAAATTTATAGTGGATAATAATTCTTTTATCGAGCCCAACACACACACATACATGTATGCAAAATATACCTATATACAAACACATTATTCGATGCCATTGTTATTAATCGACTTTAAAAACTATTAAAAAAAGTCTTATTTGGGTTTAACGGGTCTTAGTAGAGCCTCTAGTAGTGCTTCAGTGCACCCGGAGGAGAGAGAGTCTGGCCATGGTAGCGCTGCTTCATAGCAGCGGACGGTTATTGGCATCCACGATAAAGAGTAAATACATTTTTATCTTTTAATTGATACAAATAATTGTGTACTGATACTAATTCAGTTCATTATTTATATAGTTTTAATGACACCAGAGTGATCCGGAGGATCACCAAGATCAACTGAGAGCTGCTTGACGGCCCGTGGATCACTTGGGAAAAAATCCCAAGCAACGTGAGACGCCGAATGTGGGAGCGGTTCCAGGTTTGTGGTATATTTTCAAATTGTTATATTTTTGCTATTTTTTTAAACCTAAGAAGCGACTAAACTTTTAGGTACAGGGCTACTACACTTGGGATTCGACTTTGGATGCCCAGATCCTAGATGCATGGGAGAGAAAGTCAGCCAAGCCATATAATAATGACAACTTGAGTACCGCGAGGAAAAAAGCTGGGGAAAAAGCAAAGAAGAATGAGTATCCTCAATACGATGAAACCGACCCACACCGGGATATGAGTGTGTTGAAGAACTTTCCCCCTAGCTGGATATCTTCAGATGTGTGGATCCAGATGGTCGATTGTTGGAACAATGACAATTGGAGGGTGTTTCCTGTGTGGCGTGTGAGAACCGTGATAGCTAAGTTGCGGTATACACCGGTGGATCGATCCCATTTTCAGAGCATGGTGCTCGTTTGGTAGGACCTAAAAGCCATTACTTTAGTAGCTTGATTTTTAATAATATTATAATTAACATATGTTCGTATTATTTGACTTTTGTAGACACAAGCAAAAGACGACGTGCCACCGACCATTGTGGAATTGTTCGATTATACGCATAAGAAGTGGTTGAGTGGAGATGTCGCATCTACGGATTCTGGGAGGGTGCGTGACCTTTAAGTGTAGTCAAGTCATGGTAAGTATGTCTATCTATTTTAATGTATATAATTGGATACCTAACTATCTATCTAGGTTGGGCAAACGTTCGAGACGTTTAAATTAAAATCTAGTTTGGGTTGCCATTTGGTGGGTAAAAATTAGGATTTTTTAAGTTAGAAATTTCGTATGTACCAATATTTAGTTTGGGTTGCCATTTGTTGGACAAACGTTAGGATTGTTTTGGCTACAATTTTCATATGTAACACTATTTTTTTGTCTGGAAACGTCCGATTTACAGCCGTCATGCTGTCAAAATTGGCTTGTAATTTTTTTTAAATAATATATAGGATGACTATTCAACGGGTCTCACCCAAAGATAAGGTGATGATCCCTCCACCTATCCCTTAGTTGATAAAGAGTTGTGGGAGCAGGCGGTTGGGGAAAACAAGAAAGACCGTCTATTTGGGTTTGGGTACAACCAGGATTCTAATTGGGTCTTGACTGGGAACAACACACAAGGTGGTTCATCGTCTTCTGAGAGTCGGGTATGTGCCTCTTTTCCTTTGATGATGTTTATCGATTTAGTTTGTAACTCATATTAAATATTATAACGTTTTATTTATTTTATAGGAAATTGAAGCCTTAAGGACCCAACTTAGATATTTACAGGAAGAAAATCAGCGCCAATGAATGGCGGAGGAGGAGGGATGGCGGACGGAGGAGGGATGGCGGGAGGCAGAGGAGGAGGGATGGTGGGCGAGAGAAGGAGGAGCAACGAGATAAACAACTTGAAAATATGGCTGCTTTGGTTAGACAACTCAGTCAATCTCAATATTCCCCCCGACACTGAATTGAATATTGTCTGTTTGTTTGAAACAATTTAGTTTTTGTTTGGTTGAGATAATTGTCGTTTAGTTTAATGTATGACATTTAGTTGCATTTCGTCTTTTTAGTTTTTTTAATATCTTACAGATTTACAGGTTTTAAATATTGATTGTAAAATTATTCTAAAATTAACAATTTAATATATCTATGGCGGATTTCCGGGCGGATGTATCCGCCAGTAATATTTAAAATTTAAAATATTTTTTTTAAATTAATTTCCTTTTCTGACAGATGTGTCCGCCGGTAATATAATTCAATTTTTTTTTAAATTAAATATTTTCTTAATTTAATCACGAATTTTTAAATAAACCGGTGGAAAGTTTCCAGTGGCCGAGATCCGCCGGAAAATAGTAAAATCCGCGGGAAAATTAATCGATCACCAACGCCAAGATTTCCAGCGCACTGTTTGGTAGTGAATATTTTCTAGATTGCTTGATCCTATAAATATATTTTATCCTATAAATCATGGTTTTAGGAATTCTAGCTAAAATGTGTTGTCTGAGTGTGATATATTTATCTCAGAAAAATCTTTTCATCATTAAACAGAGAGTGCCGATTTATGGGATGAAAGAGATTCGTTAAAGCATAAAGAATTGGGAAGTTATGATGGTGAGGTGCAAGGAATACTTCACACATTGCATATACATATACATATACATATACATATACATATACATATACATATACATATACATATACACACATCTTATTTATCTTAGCACCATGTACCCTCTGATTTCAAGCTTTTAAAGCTTGATCTGCTCGCACCCTGTGCCCTTTATTTGATCCTGTTATTGCTGTCGTCATTATCAAGTTTTCCAGGGATGCACTTTCTTTGGAGCTTTTATTCTTAGGATCGATGATGTGTACTTTATGTTTTATGATTTGAAAATGGATGTGGTGCCTAACAGGGTTGTTTGCAGTTGGTTAGGACTACTCCTATGCTGCTGTTACGTGATGGATTGAGGAAGAATGTCTTTTGGTGGTCAGCCTTTTTTTGTCGGCCGTACATGTACATCCCATTGCATTGTGCGGGTACGCGACTATATATGTTTTCTGTAAAACCGTGTTCTTTTAACCAATTGAAATATAAACTGTGAATTTTTTTATTTAAGATGGATTGATGGAGTGAAGCTTCCATCCCCCCTTTGATAAGCCTACCTCAAAAGATTTACACATATATATATATATACATATATATATATATAGGGTATATTTCAAATACAACCATGTCCATTTGTACAACCAATGCAACCCAATTAATTGAGATATTTATAGAAATGATGAGAGTTTATTTATTATGATTTGAATATTTATGG